CCGACCTGAGCTTGTTGAATATCCAACAAGTATTATTAGAGAGTTGCACGTATACGGAAGCGTGGTGCCAATGCATAATAGGGATCCAACAAAGTTTCAACATCAAGGATATGGTACACTGCTAATGGAAGAGGCTGAGAGGATTGCATTGGAGGAACATGGAAGCGAGAAGATTGCGGTTATCAGCGGTGTTGGGGTAAGAGGGTATTATGAAAAATTAGGTTATAAATTGGATGGTAAGTAACGTTGTAATTGCGATGTAATGAACGTTTTTTATATATATGTAATCTAATCATCCATTTCTTGTTTTAGGTCCTTATATGTCCAAAATGTTGGTGAAAAAGGTTTGAGTTGTTTAAAATATTTTGACAAAATCAACTAAAACTTAAATACCAAAATTCAACATTTCTAAGATAACGTCAATAGTAGTATCAATTTACTGCACAATTAGTTGATTCGTAACTAAATTCTGATTTAATGTTTTTAATGACAAAAAAATGTATTGTGACAAACTAATTTTAAATAAATTAAAATAATATACGGTGCATTTAAAAAACCCCTTTTTTCTAATCTGAAATCAAAACATGAATGTGCGTGTTTTATTTACTCTTATATATTGAAAAAATAAATTTAACCATATTGCTAATTTATTTTTTATATACTATTTGTATCAAAATATTAACTATCTTTACATAAGTAAATTAATTGTATCAAAATTATTGTATTTATATCATTTAATTATTTATTGATTATTTTATTATAAAAAAGTTACTTTATAAGTTATTATTATATAGTATCAATTGTCTTAAGTTTTTAAATTATATATTGAATATAAATAAAATTTTATTTTTATTTTTTTATTTTTATTTTTTATAAAGTAAAAAAACTCAAATAGCTTAAATAGTAACTATATATATAGATTTTAAAAGTCTGAATGTTTTTTGTAAAAATATAACTTGTATATATTAAATATTTCTAAACAAACTGTTTTTTTTTTTTTTTTACTTTCTAAATTATTATTATGTTTTTTTATTAATATATTGTTTGTTTGTTTTGTAATTAAACAAGTATTTGCTATATTTATTTAATCTTTAAAAAGAAGATATAATTGTATATAAACATTTATATATAAATTATTTTTTTATATTTGAATATCTGTTTTAAATATTTAGTTTTTAGATATAATTTTGAAGATAAAAGTTATTTTATTTTATTTTTCATTTTTGAAAAAACTTGAACTTAGTATTTGCAGTTTATTATTACAATTTACTTTGACAAAATTTTAATTACATTATATTTCTAATTTTTTTTGTTTTTTTCTAAATAATCTTTATAAAATCAATTAAAAATTATGATTATTATAATTTAATTTTTAATTATTATAAAACTTTTTGAATTTTAATTTGTTTTTTTTTTTCTTTTTTTTTTTAAGATTAATTTTTGTTATAAAGAACTTGCTACTTTGTCTTTTTTCTTGATCTAATATATTTTTTATATTTTTGAATTTTTTTATATTTTGAATTTCAAATAAGCTATCAAAATTTCTTATATCAAATATTTAAAATTTTTTTTAAGATTTTTTAGGTTACAGTTTTAATTATTTTTTATTAATTATAAAGTAAAAATCCATTCCATTCCATTATTTTTAATTCAAAAGACAATATTTATATTTATAAATTTTTAATTGAAAAAAACTTTTTTTTTTTTTATTTATTTAAAAGTTTAATAATTATAATAGAGCTTTTTTTGTTTTTTTGTTAAAATATTGAGAAATCTATAATTTGAAAAGTTTATTTTAAACTTGTTTTCAAATTTTATTTTATTTATTTTATATTTTTTTACAATTATCAAATAATTAAATATTTTTTTTGAGATTGATAGAAAATATAAATATTATTAAATATTTTTTAAAACTTATATTTAATTAAATTATTTATAATTAAAAATTTATTATAAATAAGTTTGACTTTAAATATTTATCTTTATTTATTTAAAAAAATAAACAAAATCTTTTATCTTTATTAAAGTTCCAAAAATTTTTTAAATTAAATTTTTAAAATTTTAAAATTTCTTATTTTTTTTTTATTAAATAAAAATAAAAAAAGTTTACAATATTAAATTGTTTTATTATAATTTTTAATAAATACTTTTATTATAATATCCATAAAAATCTTGTTTTATTTAAATACTATAATTAGAATTATTGTAAATAGTATTTTTTATTAAATTTTTGATTTTTTTTTGAATAATTTTATTAAAAGATAATCTTTTTTTAAATATTGTATTAAATAGTTTTAATCCAAGCTATCAGTTTAATATGTTTATTAGTTTCTTTAATATTTTTTTGAAATATATTTTGTTTTATTTAAAAAAAATATTTATATGAATTAAAATTGTTAATTTATATTTATTAGCTTTTAATATTTTATTTATATTTGTTTAAGATAAATTAAAATAGATATATCAAAAAATTTTAAATAAAAATTATTGAAGATTTTTATTTATTATAAAAAAAATTTTTTGAATTTTTTTATTGTATAAATAATTTTAAAAAATTTTTATTATAAAAACTTTAGAATTATTATATTTTAAAAAACTCTAAAATAATATTAAAATATAAAATTATTTAACAATATTTATTATTTTTATTAAATCTTAAAATTATATATATTATATTATATATTGCTTTTATATTTCTTAAGTTATATATTTTATTAATTAAAGATATACTGTATATAATTATAATATATATATAGTATTTTTTTTTTAAAAAAATTTATATTAATTAAGAATATATGAAAAAACAAATAAATATTATTTTTTATTTTTAAAAACTAAACAATATACTTAAATACAAACAAGAATTAATAATTTTTTAATTATAAATAACAAATATAACAAATATTTTTAAATAAAAAAAAAACAAATTATAATTTATTTATTTTTTTTTTTTTAAGAGCAAAAAATGATTATCGATCGGTAATTTTATTGTAATTTTTAACTTCAGTGAAGATTTACAATTTAGAAGAAAGATATACGTCTCTCTAAGCTATAAGTAGAGTTAAACACAAGACTTATATTGGTCCCCCATTTTTGCTCTGGACACCCTCCAAGAAATACAGTAAAATGAATTTCAAAACCTATATCAAAACCTTGAGGTGGTGTCTAGTTTCTTAGAGTTAATTGATTACCTAAATATATGAAGGTGCTGTAGCCATATTTTCACAGGTTAGCCTTCAAATCATAAGTAGGATTAGCACCCTTGCTTTCCAAATATGGCTTGATATATGGCAA